TTAGATTTAGTTTTTTTCAAACTTTGTTTAGTTTAGATTTCTTTCAACCATTATTTAGTTTTTAGACAATAAACATATTTAGTTTATTTTTTTAGAAACATTATTTAGTTTTATACCACTTAGTTTAGTTTTATACAACTTAGTTTAGTTTTTTAGTTATTCCATTACCCTAAGGTGATGGGTTTTCAAAAAATTAGACCTGTGGCCTTCTATGATCAGCATGCGTAACGTTTCGGCATGTCTCTGCCTTCCTCAGACGCGCTGATCATTTTTATACCCTCTAGGCATTTCCCTTTCACACTCCCTCTTTTTTACCTTGTTCCTATCCTGCCCTTTCTGTTAAGGTAAGTATTTATTTTTCAGGTTTGTTTTTCAGGTAAGTATTTGTTTTCAGGTAAGTATTTGTTTTCTAGGTTTGTTTTTCAGGTAAGTATTTCTTTTCCAGGTAGGTATTGTTTTTCAGGTAAGTATTTATTTTTCAGGTAAGTATTTTGTTTTGGTTAATTACTGTTTGTTTTGTGTTTTGGGTCCTTCCTTTTCTATTCTTTCTTCACCTCCTTCCCATTCCACTTCTGTTTTCCCTCTTTGTTCCTTCCCTTTCCTTCCTCTAATTTCTCCTCTCCTTCTCTTTTGCCTCCCCTTGCTTTCTCCCTTTCTTCACTGCACTTAACATAAGCGTCTCTTCCCATCGTCTATCGGACTTTTATATTTGGACTTTATCTTTATTTGGGCTTATATTTATTTGGGTTCGGCGGACTTTAAAGACTTCCGGTTAGCTTAGTTAGTGGGGTTTAGATTAGGTTCAAGGGTTAGGGGGCATAGGATAGGGTTCGAATAGTTAGGTTTAGGGTTAGGATAGGATCAGTGGTAGTTCAGAATTAGGCTAGGTTGGGACAATTTAGAATAGAATAGAATTTGGACATGTTCAATTAGGGTTGGGTTTAGGCATCTAATCGACGGACCTTAGGTTTAGGTACCAAATCGACTGTCCTTATGTTTAGGATAACCATTAGATTGGGGTTAAAAAACACTTAATTTAGGTTTAGAAATAGTCAAACACCATTGGGCATATCCAAATTTTAGGTTCAGGGTATAGACTAGGTTAGGAGGGGTGGGGGGTTATAGCCAATAGGGCTTACACATTAATAAAGCCAGGAGAACTCTGCCAGACCTCCCTCGAGGCACTGGCCGGTTAGGAGTTAGGGTTAGAACCCTGCTCCCTGGGTCACGCCCTGGAGCAGGTGGATGCACGGTCCATCAAAGGGGTGCCCAGCAGAGACCCCCAGCTCCACCATACACTTAGATTTAGTTTTTTTCAAACTTTGTTTAGTTTAGATTTCTTTCAACCATTATTTAGTTTTTAGACAATAAACATATTTAGTTTATTTTTTTAGAAACATTATTTAGTTTTATACCACTTAGTTTAGTTTTATACAACTTAGTTTAGTTTTTTAGTTATTCCATTACCCTAAGGTGATGGGTTTTCAAAAAATTAGACCTGTGGCCTTCTATGATCAGCATGCGTAACGTTTCGGCATGTCTCTGCCTTCCTCAGACGCGCTGATCATTTTTATACCCTCTAGGCATTTCCCTTTCACACTCCCTCTTTTTTACCTTGTTCCTATCCTGCCCTTTCTGTTAAGGTAAGTATTTATTTTTCAGGTTTGTTTTTCAGGTAAGTATTTGTTTTCAGGTAAGTATTTGTTTTCTAGGTTTGTTTTTCAGGTAAGTATTTCTTTTCCAGGTAGGTATTGTTTTTCAGGTAAGTATTTATTTTTCAGGTAAGTATTTTGTTTTGGTTAATTACTGTTTGTTTTGTGTTTTGGGTCCTTCCTTTTCTATTCTTTCTTCACCTCCTTCCCATTCCACTTCTGTTTTCCCTCTTTGTTCCTTCCCTTTCCTTCCTCTAATTTCTCCTCTCCTTCTCTTTTGCCTCCCCTTGCTTTCTCCCTTTCTTCACTGCACTTAACATAAGCGTCTCTTCCCATCGTCTATCGGACTTTTATATTTGGACTTTATCTTTATTTGGGCTTATATTTATTTGGGTTCGGCGGACTTTAAAGACTTCCGGTTAGCTTAGTTAGTGGGGTTTAGATTAGGTTCAAGGGTTAGGGGCATAGGATAGGGTTCGAATAGTTAGGTTTAGGGTTAGGATAGGATCAGTGGTAGTTCAGAATTAGGCTAGGTTGGGACAATTTAGAATAGAATAGAATTTGGACATGTTCAATTAGGGTTGGGTTTAGGCATCTAATCGACGGACCTTAGGTTTAGGTACCAAATCGACTGTCCTTATGTTTAGGATAACCATTAGATTGGGGTTAAAAAACACTTAATTTAGGTTTAGAAATAGTCAAACACCATTGGGCATATCCAAATTTTAGGTTCAGGGTATAGACTAGGTTAGGAGGGGTGGGGGGTTATAGCCAATAGGGCTTACACATTAATAAAGCCAGGAGAACTCTGCCAGACCTCCCTCGAGGCACTGGCCGGTTAGGAGTTA